CAGAGTAGGCAGTGATAAAGAGAGTTGCTCAGGGACCCACAGCATCCCTCACACACCATAAGCTGAACTCAGTCTGTGTTTAGCAACACCAGGCCCTACTTTTTCCTAGGCTTCGTAAGCAAATGCTAAATCTGTCACATTTTTTTTCAAACAACACTATTCAAAAGATGACATGGGACTTCTCATTACACAATTTTTCCCACTAGTATTTCCTCCATCTAAACACCAGGTGTTTGCTGTGCCCACCCTCCAGAGCCCACCTGAGCATTGCCTCCTGTGTGAAGCTAGCACAATGGAAATGATCTGTCTCCATCTCAGGGTTATTCCAAAGCTAGAATATCAAAGTGTTCCATCAATGATTAGTTCATTAACCAACAATACTAGAGATAGTTCTTGCTGAATGAATGCCTCTGAAGAAAAACTGAATGCAAAATACATTTTCCAATTATTTTTCCAATATTCTTGCTGAAAAGTTAGAGATAAGAAAGGCAAAATGAGGCAGTGGGAATAACATTTGCAATGAGATTTCCTGGATTCCAACCGTCCCTGTAATTGATGTAATGAAAAGAGGAATGCTCAGATTCACGTTACATGTAATTATGATCCTGATGACGTGTTTGCCAAGTCACGTGCCCATCTCTGCCCTAGAACACAGCAGGCACTTGAAAATGTCACTGTCCCTTCCAAAGCACAGACCCATACGTGGCACCTGTGTCTGAGGTAGAATGGAAAACTGGGCAGGTGGATGAAAATCCAGTGTCAGGTTGAGGCATAACTTTCACTAGGGAATTAGGTGAGCTCCAGCGCCAGAACCACCCTCTCTCTCACTGGACTCGAGAGAAAGTGAAGGTTGAAAATTAACTTACGCTTTGCATTAGCCAGCAGTACAGTGATAGGTGATCTATTAAATTTCAGGTAACATAAAACTCCGAAGTTATTGGAGCAGCCTTTTATCAACTCTTCACAGGCCAATTTGGGCTTCCATCCCTGTTATGTGAAGATGCAGGAAGCGTGTCTAAGATTTCCTTGGGTTCTGATTTATTAATGAGAAGGAAGCGTTCCTGTCAAATGCCGCGTCTTCCTAGGGGATGACACCTGCCACAAAGCCCAGAAGCTTACAAGGATCCCCCCTCCAAACCACAAACAACCACCCTGGATATGGGAAGGTCTTTCCAGCCTGCTCACCATGGGCACATCTCAACCCAGAGTTAATACAACACAAGAAGTCTCCAGGGAGAGATCACTGGATTTTACTCTAACAAAGAAAAAGAATTTTAAAAGCTCAGGAAGGGTGCAGACGGGCACCCTGGCTCTGGAACTGAGTGGAATGCCCTATTAGTGTCTGCAGAAGCCCACCCTGCAGTTCGAAGGGTGAGCCCTGACCGGAGTGGCCGACTTGAGGCCCACCGTTAAGTATCCCCTGTTTATCTCAGGACAGAGGCAGCTGAGAGAAGGCAGCCCCCTTTGTCCCTGTCCTTCCAGATAGCAGAAGATGCCACCCAGCTTCCTGAGGCCACAGTGTCCCTCTGCACTTTCAAACAGGAAGTGCTCTTCTCCATGTGGAAGTATTCATTACACGGATGTTTCCTAGAGTTCAAGTGCAGGAATGTTAGCAGTAGACATTTCCTGTGATGGAGCAGTTCCTCTCTCCTTCAGATAACCTGAAGTGGTCAGATTAAATACCCTTCAGCTCCTTTCTTCATCACTGAATAGATCTATATGTCATTTATTGAATATAAATGTTTAGGTTTTATGACATTGCCGTGACACTCAGCGTGCTTTTGTGCACACACAGCAGACGTTTGATAAATAGATTTTTTGCATGAGTAAATGATAATTATTCAGAATCCTGGTGGAGAATGTGTGAATTGATCTCAAAGTAGATTTAGGGGCCACGGCCATGGCACGGTGGGTTAAACCACCATCTTTAGTGCTGATATCCCATACAGGCACCAGTTCAACTCCAGGCTTGTTTCACTTCTGATCCAGCTCCCTGCTAAGACTCCTGGAAAAGCAATGTAGGGTCGCCCAAATGCCTGGGCCCTACAGCCGCGTGAGAGACTCAGACCAAACATGGTTTCTGGCTTCAATGTGATTGTGCCTGGGTTTTGGGGCCACTGTGGGAGTGAACCATCAGATGGAAGTTGTGTCTCTCTGTCTCTCTGTCTTTCCCTCTCTCTCTGTAACTGACTTCCAAATAAATAAAAAGATTTGTTTGGTGCAGAACAAAATTGAAATCTGTGCATACAGGGGGTATTTTTCAAAAAGTTCTTAGAAAATGTATCTGTGAGAACACCCAGATTCCAAAATAATTTTGCACCAAAATAAACTTCCTTCATTTCCATTTTTGCAGTATTCTTGTACATATCATAGGCAGTATAGAAACCTATCCCCTAACTGCAGTAATAGTTGCCTACTTGAATAACCAACAGACATGTGAAGGGGCTCGGTCTTTCAAGGGTCCTACAGTGCACTTTCTGGAAATGCCTGGAAAATCAGCCTTAAGAAGAAGGCTTTTACCCTAGCATTTGGGGAGCTTTGGGGAGGAATCTGGTCTGCCCTTTGTCCATGTTGCTGTTGGGCTTCTATAGGCGGGCCTCTGGACTAAGTAACAGGTTCTGAATGCAAGAGTGATAGCAATTAATTTTCAATAGAACAGGAAATGGCCTCTCTCAAATGCTATGGAAAATACAAGGAAAAATGATAGAATGAGGGCCGGGGTGTTGGTGAGATAGAAGGAAAAAGGGAAGAAAGGAAAGAAAAACAAAGATCTCGCCATTGTAGATCTGCAAAGGGCAGATGTGAAGACAGTGTCCTGCCCCACTGCACACAAAACCCTTTGCTTTGTACTGTAAGGTGGAGCCTGCCCGCTGCTGCATTAGTCCCAGGCAGCCTGAAGTACCCCAGCTCTAAGACAGGGACAAGGGCCAGCTGACACTAGGTGGAGGCGTGCTTGCCACGTGCTCCCAGCGGTGGCCAGGGAATGTCATTCTGAGACTGCAAGAGGGCTACACGCTCCTGCAGCATGATTACTCTCAGAATAGCCAGGTGCATATAGTTCAGCCCCACCCTGAGCCTCAAAGATAGTCATGCTGGTCCCTAGACAAGACAGCCAGGGTCAAGGTGGCTGCAGTGAACCCGTCTCTACCATCTCCATGATACCAGAGGGAAAAGGAAAAGGGCTGTCATGACTTTCCGTGCTTCCGTGCAGCCCTCAGCTCTGTGCATGCAAACCAGGGCTGAACAATGGGGCTGGAGCCCGAGGCCATGACGCCCACGGGGCTAGAAACCCAGACAATGGGGCTGGGGCTGGCCCAGGGGGAAGCGGATATGATAGTGAGGAAGGAGTTCCAATGTGAATGAATACTAATTAGTGACATGGATATTAATGATGACAGTAATTAACAGGGGAAAGGAAGGGCTGTCATTGTCCCAGGGTGAGTAATCAATCTTGGCAGGTGATAAATAATGGTTTAGCAAGCTCAGCAGAAAGATAATCCGCTTGCCCCCGGGAGCTCCGAGCCAGCCTGGAAAGCTCCCCGTTTCTAGGCAACCCACAGGAAGGAACTATTTTTCTTTTGAGGAAAAAAACAGGTTAAAGAAGTCTCTCCCCGACCCCCAACTTGGGATTGCTGTGCTTGTTTGATTTCTGCTTTGTTCTTCATTTCCTAGGACAAATGTTGAACTTGTATAATTTGGGGGTAATGAACACCACACACACACAGACACACACACACACACACACACACACACACACACACGCTCACTCTCTGAGCTCCATGAATATGAATAAAGAAGAGTGGTTTGGATTTGGGAGCAGGGGATGCGGAGGAGCTGGGAAGTGTTGCTTTTAAGGTTGAAACGTGGGGGAATTGAGTTGTCAGTGGTGAGGGGACTTGGGGAGTGGGCCAGGAAGAGATAAACCAGCACCTTCCAGGGATCCACAGAGAGAGAGAGAGAGAGAGAGAGAGAGAGAGAGAGAAGTTTAAGCTTCTCCAATCTGTACCTATCCCATATCTTGGAAATTTCCTTTCTGGAAACAAGGCTTTTCTCATTAAGTCCCATACTGGATTTGCAGTCCTTCCACTGGGAATCTACCTCAGGCTCCTGGCTAGCTCTCTCTCCCTCACTCCTAAGCTGTGGACCCAGAACCCCTCCTGGCTGGAATGCCTCCCTTTCAAGGTAGTTGCCACACAAGCATTGCTTCCCAAGGTGCCACATCCACCTCTAGTGCTCTGTACTGGTTTAAGTTGAGATCTTTGAAGGCCAAATGTGACTTCACCAACCCTTCAGAACCTTCCAGAAAATTGGCCTCTTCTCCCATGTGAGCTGTGTTGCTCTAAGAACATGGGATATTGGGGCCACATTCCCAAAGGGAGGCCAACAGAAGGTGTACCTCACAGCAGTGGAGAACTGGAGCTCCTATCACAGGAAGGAATGGCTGAGGGGTCCAGACACAGGCCACCTGTCAGGGAGCACTGTGCAGGTAACCCAATGTCTGCCTTGCAGAGACATTGGACCTTGGTTGGTTGGTAAAGCACCCAAAGGAGGAGGTCAGAAGGCAAGGTTGTGTTGGGAAAAATGAAAGACTGTGTTGACACAGGCTGGGCCAATGGGAAAATTCATGCATCCCTACATTATGTTCATGCAGCACGGGGTCCAGGCCACAATAGATAAGTCACCTGCCAGGAAGGATGGAGAGGTGATGTGGTCTCTTTCTTTGAGACTAGGCATGACAGAGCAAAAATCTTTATTCTTGGGAAATCAAGGAAAGATGCTTATTACAGACATGCATGTCTGATCCACCTGCGTCATCAGAAGTGACTGGTTTTTGGAAAGGGATGGAACCATGGCTGTGGACTGCCGAATGGGAGTGTCAGATGGTCCGACTGACTGGCTGTATCCCGGCTGGAACTGGGATTCTGTCCGGGAAAGGGGACTTTCTGCCACAGGCTCAGTCCCCTCGGAGGTCTTCAGCTAAAATTGCTTTGTTATTGCAGGTACTGATGTTGTCCAGTGGCTGATGAAGAACCTTTCCATCGAGGACCCAGGTACTTGACCCTTGACCCCCACCTGACGCAGTTCTAAATTGGATTTTCCTGCCCTCCTAGGGACTGAATTTATCCTTGTAAATTCCAGGATATGGGATTGCTGTATTTACAAATAGAATTCTTCAGGTCCCCTAAATAGCACTCTTTAAACTTAAACCACCCTGTGAGGAAATGAGTGACTATGGAGAAGGCCAATACAACTGCCTGTGAAATGAGTTCCCATTAGCAGTGGCAATTAAAGATTAAGGTATGACCCTATCATTGAACGGCATTCTAGAGGAGCTCTCAAAATTAGATTCCCAATGCACCATTCCGATGTCTAATTATTTGCTCAGACTCCTTCTGTTTTCTGCTTCTGCAGTAAGTAATGATTTTTCCCCCCTCACCTTTAATTGTGCATTTCAATTAGAGCAAACCTTAAGTAGCCACAAAACCCTGGCCAGTGAAAGTTTCCAAATGCATCTGGAAAGAAACAGGGACATTTATTTTCAGCATAATTAGGAAATGGGGGAGGGGTCCAGAAAAATGAAAATTCTAGATAATAGATCTTATTATGCACATGCTGTTGATTCACACTTCTCTAAATGGATGGTACTCTCTCGTCCTACCTAACTGAGGGCTCTCAGTGCTGGAAGGTCATGTTCGTAAAGATCCATGAATGGACTCTGATGTTCTTGATGGGCACAGTTAGCTTATTAGACGTATTTGCTCCAAGTGAAGTGGCTCCCACCTGTTGCGCATTTTGAGGATTTTTTTTGTGTCATGTGCCTGCTCCCCTGCTCTCTGCCTTCTGCTGTGATTCGCTGCTGGGGTCGGTGTGTCTGTCTGGCCCTGACATCCCTCATCTCCCCCTGACTGTGAAAGAAGATTATTTACATGCAGTTCTGTTAAATACAGTGGTCAGAAGATGAGGTCATCCGTGGACATGGTCATCACCTTTTGTGCACCTTGATGAACAACCGCTCAGTACTGGGCACAGTTCTTAATTGTGATCAAGTTCCTAACCAAATGGGAAAGAATATAATAATGCTGGCCCTCTTGAGGTACAGAACTCAAATCATCAGTCTCTGCTTCTGCTATGTGGCCTGGATTTCCAGTTGTACAATTTTGGACTGGAAAAGTATCTACCCATTTGATTACATTTCTTCAGCATCAACATTTCCTTTGGTTATAAGGCCAAACTGAGTACCACTTCTCCCCATTGTGTGAGGCTTTTCCTGTCTAATGACCATGATTTCTCTTCCTTCTAAAACAGTCATTATATTTTGAACATTATTTATGATCTTGTAAGGATACTTCAGGAAGTTCATGGAAAGCAGAATGAAAAGATGAGTTTATTATGGTACAAAAGTTTTTGAAATTCAGGTGTAGTTCTGTTATAATTCCCACGTCTCACTAACTTGTGAAGACGCTTATGCGTGGATTTCAAAGTGTCTCTTTCTGTGCTTCTTTCCTATTTGCTGTGTGCCTGCAGTTGAAGCAATACACCTGGGAAGCCTCATAGCTGCCCAGGGCTACATCTTTCCCATCTCTGACCACGTGCTCACCATGAAGGATGACGGGACCTTTTACCGCTTCCAGGTAGGTCTGCTGGCTCCTGTTGCTGAAGGACCCTGTTCTTGTTCCCTGGTGATCTTGACTCCAGATGCCAACTTCCTCAAGCAGCCCCAGATGTACTTAAGGGGCAATACCCTCCTTGGCCAGGTCTGGGAAAACCATAGGAACTGTTGAGTCTTTGGTAGAGCTATTTAAAAACAGTCTCAGGTCCTCAGGGACATCTTGCTGTCACTGAGTACTCTCTCCACCTTTTCAGGCTGTCTTAACAAAATACCATAAACTGGGGCGCCTTTAATACCAGTTCTGAAGTCAAGTCCAAGGTTGATCTGGATAAGGGTCTGCCCTTTGGTGCCTTCTGTGTCCTTCCTGAAAGAGCAAGAGGTCTCTACCAGACATCAATAAGAATGGCACTAATTCCATCCTTGAGGGCTCCACCCCCTGGACCTAATTACCTATCAATGACCCCACCTTCTAACACCATATCTCCTCTGAATTAACATTTCAACATTAACTTGGGGGGCAACCATGTACATTGTGACCATAACAGCCACACTGCACATATTTATTCACTTCTTAGGAAGAACAAACTTTGGGGAGGTATGTGCCACCCATTTGTGCAAGGAAGTTGAGATGCTCAGAATTAGCGTGGCATCAGTAACTGTAGGAGTCAGGCGAGCCTCAAGCACAATCCTTGGTCTTCCTGCTACATCATGTGGCCTTCCTGGAGAAGTATCTCTTTGCCATTTCACTGTTCTCTATGCCCATTTCCCACACCTTCTCCCAAATCCTACCTACAGGGAGCTGCAGGAAAGGATTGGGGCTCTGTCTGGGTCTAAACTATGGAGTTGGGAATCAGAAGTTTTCAAGACAGGATTGAATAGAACAATGGAACTTAGGTTCTGACCAAACTACACCAGTCCGACTTCTATAGTTCTAGAGTTCTGTTGTCTAGGGTAAGAAATGTTGGCTTCATAAACTTTCTAATTTTTGCATCTGTGTTGCTTACCTGAGATTCTGGTTCTCAGTACCTATAATTAAGTGTTGACCAGACTTGACTGTGTTCAAGAACAGATGAGAGCGGGTGTAGCGTGAACAAGACCGAGATGGAGACCGTCCTTGGGGAGGGGGGCTTCACTGGGTACAGGGGTGCCTGAGCCCTGACACCCTGTGCTGTTTTGCAGGCTCCTTACTTCTGGCCTTCGAACTGCTGGGAACCAGAAAACACTGACTATGGTGAGAAATTAAGTTATGGCCCACATTTCAGGTCACTCCTGAGCATATGGTCACCAGATGCTTGGTGTCTGGGTGACCATGTTGCATGGGAGGGGTGGCAGGCAGCAGGCTGTGGGGGGAGCTTCACCCTTCTTAGTCCCATTTCCTACTACTGACAAGTAATAAACTCCCTGTTCCATTATATTAAACAAGGACAGCAGAACACACTAGCGTGTCGTTCTGGGGAAGGGCAGGGCAAAGAGAAGTTTCACCAAAGGTGGTCAAGGTGTTTATGCTGGCAGGCTGTGCATAGCTGGTATCCCTGAGCATTGTAACAGGATGACAACTTTGGACTGCTCCTTTCAGGAAGAACTCCATGAAGGGACCACTTGGTCTTCTCTCTTCTTACCAACACTTACTAAGAATTCTTGGGTGGTTCTGATCATGGCAGGGTAGGGAGACAGCCTAGGAAGGGGAGTGCAAGAGTTCACTCCAGACTGGGAAAATAAAAACACAGATGCAGCTGTACAATGGGCAAGCAAGGGAGTTTTGCCAGAAACCAGGCTTTGGCTGTTGACCCTCGACAGAGACTCTTGAAGATTTGTATGTGCCAGTTCTTCTGGAAAGTTCTGGAATCCCTATGCATGGAGACACGCAGCCTGGGGCCCACAGAGTCATTACGGCTGTAGCCCCTCTGCCTGCTGCCCTTGCTGCCTTGGCTATGTGGCTGAGGGAGGGGATGCCAGCAGCTAGGGGCAGTCCTGAGGATGGAGGGCAAGCAAAGTCCTGTCTGTTAAGCCTGCAGTTGCCCCAAGCCCGAAGGACAGGGCAGGACAAGGCACTGGGACTGAGTGCTTGGCAGTGCCCAGGCACTGCAGAGGGCCCCTTTGATATGCTGCACCCTGAGTGATGTAACGAGCTGGTCCAGCAAGCATTCCAGCTCAGAGCAGAAGCCTCTTTTGATATTCATAAAACCAGGGCTGTAGGGCTGGCAGCTGCCCTCCCAAGGGCCCATCAGTCTCTGAATCATCCTAGCCCAATTCTCTGGGGGCAGCCATATGACCCTGGGCGTAAGTAAATCACTGTCTCCAAGCCCCGCAGTGTGTAGAAAAAGGCGAGAACTGATGTCAAGGCCTAGGAAGGTTGGAACGATGACTCCACTTACACTCAAGCCATCTTACCCTGAGGGTAAAAGGGCGGTATGTTCCTTCTTCTGCCAATTTTCTCCATTTCGTAGTTTTAATGCATAGCAAGTAGAGGGGTAGAAGTGACAGTTTAAGTGCTTGCTAAAGCAAAGTTACTTTGAATTCCTGTTCCTCCATTTATAGCCATCAGAACCCTTTTGCAGTCTGTCCTGAGCAGTTTGATCATCCGTTGGTGTTCACCCAGAAGGATCCTGGCACCCAGTGAGACAGGACCCACTAGGCCCACCACCTGAGGGATCTGAGCAGGTGATGTCATTGCTCTGCTCCTCAGGACCCTCATACAGCAATCAGAATTAAGAGCCCTTGTCTCCTTGAGTTGCTTAGTATAATGAACACCAAGTTAGGGTTGGTGTATGGCACCTCATAGATGGTGTGTGATTGCAGGGATGTGGCTAATGTGACTGATGGTGGGGTGCTGATCGATATCATTGACCCTGAGACTGCTGTGGTGTCCTTGTCACCAGAAGAGATAGGAAACTGGGTGTCAGAACTCGGGGGACCAACGCTGCACTGCAGAAGGTGAAGTCGCCACCTACAACACCGACATCCCCTATCTAAGTACTATTTGGGGTCCTGATTGCTCTCCTTCCAATCCAACTCGCTGTTAATTGGGACAGCTTGGAAGATGGCCAAAGTGCTTGGGCCCGTGTCACCCACATAGAGGACTGAGCTAGGAGATCCTGTCTTTGGCCTGCTGCAACCTTGGCTGTTATGGGCACTTGGGAACCGTGAAACAATAGATGGAAGGTGTGTCTGTCTCTCCAATCACTCTGCCTTTCAAATAAGCATGCACTGTAAAAAGAAAAAAAATCCAAAACAGAAGTGATGTGAACTGATAAATTATCAGAAACTTTTATTCAGCAATTACCCGTCACTTATTCTGTGCATATTTGTTTATTTATTTACTGATGACTACCAGAGAAAGAGATGAGGGGCCAGCCAGCTCTCATCTTCTGCTCTTCAAACACCTACAGAAACCAGGCTGGGCCAAGGCCAAAGCTGAAAGCTGGGAATTCAGTCCAGTAGACCAAATGCTTGCCCTCACATAGTTGTCATTTCTATGTCATAGGTTTGATTCAGTCAGTCTCACCTGCCACACATTGTAGGCTGAGAGAGGTAGCATGAAGGAGGGAAAGAGAGCTTGTCCAGGATCTGAATACTTGCAGTTCTGTGTTGATGAAGATGGATGGAGCAGGTGGAATAAACTGGGTGGGGCAGATTTCTTAAAGATCTTGACAGTCAAGGATAGATGGACTCAGAAATTTGGGGGAGCACTGTGAACTCCCCCACCAAACAGGAACCTGAGAAAGTGTGGACTGCAGATCCCAGGACCCACCCTGTAAAGCAGTGACAAGAATTTAGTAAGTGACCAGTTAGAGTCCCATGGCCAGTGATTAACACAGAACCAACTCTGGACGAGAGGTCCCTGCTGACCTGGTGACTTCCACAACACCTGCAACAGTCCTTGGCACAGATGAGGTGCTTGGCGAGTATCTTAATAAGTGCACAGATCAGTAAATGGGTGAGTTAATGGCATGTCATCATAGAGGTTATTAGAGACTGCAGCTGTTGCTAGAGCTTTAGTGAATAGCTTCTCAGGACTGTTTTCTCCATCTAAGAGAGGTCTGTATGGTGCTTGCCAAGGTTACTTCCATTACTAAAGTTGGTTCTAGAGAACACAAGGAAAATACATGATTTCATGATGTCAGACACAAAGAGTGGAATGGAATCAGTTTTTAGGTGTATTGAAATTTTGATACAATTTTTAAAGTGCAGTGGAAAGTATGGTATATAAATGTGTTCCCTTTACATGGTTTTAAGTGTGTGCCATTTTTTTTCATGGTGGGATGTGTTGAGTTTGAGGTGGGTGGTACTAGGTTCATCCGGAGGAAACACTGGAATGCCAGGTAGGAGGGCAAGAGGCAAATACTTGTAAGAAATTAATACCCAAGAGAACGCAACATCTGAGTGTACAGTAGGCCCCACATCCTTCCTAGTGGTCACTTGAGTTGGTTTAGACGCTAGTGTGAAGGACCATACATACAGGGTCTTGAGAAATTCACATTATATTAAAAAAAACCTATACATGGATTTCATCACTGTGTGCACCAAACTAATTTTTTTAAAGATTTATTTTTATTATTTTTTTATTGGAAAGGCGGATATACAGAGAGGAGAGACAGAGAGGAAGATCTTCTGTCCAATGATTCACTCCCCAAGTGAGCTCAACAGCCGATGCTATGCTGATCTGAAGCCAGGAGCCTCTTCCGGGTCTCCCATTTGGGTGCAGGGTCCCAAAGCCTTGGGCCGTCCTCAACTGCCTTCCCGGGCCACAGGCAGGGAGCCGGAAGGGAAGTGGGGCCGCCGGGATAGAACCGGCGACCATATGGGATCCCGGGTGTGCAAGGCGAGGACCTTAACCACTGCGCCACTGCGCCGGGCCCCCACCAAAGTAATTTTTAACTCCATTTTTCCATGAACTTCCCTAAGTATCCTTGTAGCCTAGAGCAAAGCATGCTATAGTCCACATAAGTCTCCCCCACGTCACTGGGACTGCACTCACTGACCCCGTCTGGTCTCAGTGTCACAATAGAGGCTCACATTCCATTTTCTCAGGAAATGATCCAAATTCACAATGTCAAGTCTTGATCTAATAAATGTGTATCCTCTGCACACCAGCATGATGTCCAAGAATCTTAAGCCAAACCACACTGAGTCAGGGACTTAGGGTTTAGTGAACGCGTGTGTTTTTTAAGGCCACAGGTACATCTGACATAAGCGATAACTGGGAACAATGACAACCGAGTCGGGTCAGGCTGTTTGCTACAAGGTTCCAGGATGTCACAGGTTGCCATCAGTAAACCTCTGAGAGTTCATGGACAGAGCTGGTTGAGCTAGCAAGTGGCTGGCTGGAGAGCTCCAAGTGTAGTCTAGTAGTCAGGCACGATGATCATTCGTCCCCTGTGACTTTCCTCCTGGTGGTTCTGTTATTTCCCCATCCGTTCTTCTTCCTGGGCCTTTCAACTTGACATTGTAGAAGGAGGAAGACTCTGAGAAGCAGAGATGAGGAAAGGAGGTGATGAAGGCCATGTTCAAGGAAGAATAGCCTGACAACCAAGAGGAGGAGGCCCGTCCTTGCAATGCTCTTTTGTTCCACCTCAGGACAGGCACAAGAGTGAGTGACATTTAAAGCTGAGTAGGACAAGGCAGCTGACCTTAAAGTGCCTGCAGCCTGCCTGAGCAAGGGACAAGATATTAGCACAGCACAAACAAGCTCCTTGGGTGGAGATGTGTGGCTACCTCTGGAACCTGCCGTGGGCCTGCAGAGATGGGTAGGAGGCAGGAGGGGTGAAGAGAGGTTAGGCTAAGGCCTTCAAAACAGAGGCTGCACACGTGGGGGAGTGGCGGTCTGAAAATGCCTGAGTGAGGGAGAAAAGGCAGGTGAGACAAGCAGAAACTGGGTCATCAGGAACCATATTTACTACCAGAAGGAGGACAGTCTCACTGTGGAGGCCACTGAGGATTTGGTCCTAGATTCACATGGGCATGTTTGTGCGTGATCCCCTCTGAGTGGACACCATTTGGGATAAAGCAGAGTGAGCCAGAGGGAGTTGTGGAATTATGGCACTGTAGGGTCCTCATCAGATACTGGCTTTCAGAAAGATCCCTAGGGGTCAGGAATGGATCACCACATCCACTTAGAAATGTATTCTTCCTGAGGCAGAGCTGATCACGTAATAAGAACTGACTGGTGGCTGGCTGGCTAGCTGTATAGATGGATGGATGGATAGACCAGTGGATGGTTGAGTTGGTGATTCCACTGCTGGCTTTTTGCATAGTATACTTTTTCTTTTCTTCCCACAGCCATCTATCTCTGTAAGAGGACAATGCAAAATAAAGCAAGGCTGGAATTGGCAGATTATGAAGCAGTAAGTATGATATATCATACATCATATATTGGCTTTCTCTTCTATGGCCTTGACATGTTAGAAAATAAAATGGTTAGAAACCAAAAAGACAATGTTTCCAAAATACAGTTATCTTATTTTTTGTTGATGTAATCTCTTTGAAATAGAATAAAAATTTAAACAGCAAAGAAGGGAAAGAATCTGTCATTCTCCTAAGAAACTGTAAATATGAGAATACTTCAAAAATTCAGGGGGAAATTGAATGGAAGTATACACTTATTTTGGTACCAAAAAAAATTTGCCTAATTTTTTTCACAGACATTTTACAGGCGCATTTCCAGTGACTCCTCATTTGTAGCTGTAGTGTTTTTTTCACATATATTTTATTCTTTACAAAAAAAAAATCATAGGACCATGCCATGAACACAGTGAAGCTACCCACTTCATTCTCGGGTCATCAAATGTAGATGTCTTGGAAATCTCTCGGTAATAATCATCTGTGTTGTCATTTTTATGGTTGCCTGGCAGTTCTTGGTGTGACAGTTGCCAGACATCTAATCACAACCAGCTTTGCTTCCGCTGGACAGTGGCAGAGTCCAAGCAATGGAGCTTTAGAAAGACTTCCACCCTGCACCGTGGTACTAGCTGTGAGTTCCTGGGCAGGCTCTTCGTTTGGAGCTCCTCTGGCGTTAAGTCACCAACATCAATTGGCGTTGGCATGAACTCTATGAAAATACATGTTGTGATGCGGGCTGCGGCTCTGCATTCTTCAAGATTAGCAGATGCTAAGGGACCTGTCAGACTCTGAGGCTGTTCTCTGCAGACTCACTGGGTCTCCCCTTTGCTGCAAAGAGCCACTGTCGGTGGCTCTTTCTGGTTGGGGGTTTTCTGTTGATGAATATCACAGAGACACAGAGTCCACTTCTGATGGTTGACTCTGTAAAGCACTAATGCCCAGACCTCCTGCAGCTTCTCAGCTCCCTGCTGGAGGACGAACCCTGTGAGCTCCAGCCCTGGGTCTTGCTCTCAGAACTTCCTGACAGGTTATATGTTCCCACTGAGCCCTCCCCAATACCCTCAAACCATTCTCAATTTTCAGTGGTCTTCTTAATAAGTTGTACATACAATACGTCCAGGAGAGGAATGAGGTGAATCAAAGAAGGGATGTGCAAATGAACATTAATAGTTCAACACTGTATAGTAGGGCCTGGTGCAAGATCAAATTGGGTTCATGTCCAAAAGATAAAGCTGGGGGGCTGCTCTTGTGTAGGGAGTCAACAGAATGGATGGCTGCCTTGTAATAAGCTCATGTGTCGATGTATTCAATTGCAATGAGTAATGCCTTCCTGTTGATTCTCCTTTCTCATTAGGAAAATTTAGCAAGACTCCAGCGAGCCTTTGCAAGGAAGTGGGAATTCATCTTCATGCAAGCAGAAGCACAAGTCAAGTAGGTCAACTTCATTGAGCCCCTTTCAGAGAGAGAATAAGACTTTCTAGAACTTGGAGGTAGCATGAAAGCAGGATTGCCAGAGTGAGGGTTTCTGGCTGGCGTGGGTCTCTCTCCTCTTGCATGATAGCCACTCAGTGGAAACTGAAGTCAGGATGGAGGAGTTCCATCTTTGTAACAACCAGTGTTGGCTTCAAACCATGTCACAACTCTGTGCTTCAGCAGATAATGGGTGCGGATCCTCCCAGATGTGGACCTCGTGGTGAGAAGGCACAGCAGGTGCAGCTCTTTCCCCAGGAGACTTCTAGTTCTGACTCCATGCTTGGACCGCCTTTACCTGTGGGGCTGGGGATTTTTTGTCGGCAGAAGAAAGTTTGTGGAAGTTTGAACAACAAGTAGACCTTCCTACCTCCCACTCCCTCCACTGAGTATAGAACCATTTGGAAATTGAGACACATCAAGCAGATGGTTGGAGTTTGAAGCATCTGAGGATTACTTGAGTTAAAAGTTACGCTATAGGGCAGGTTTTGAGTGTGCAACCCCAGATCTGAATGATCCTTGTGCTTCTGGGGTGGAACTGGGTGGATGGACCCAGCCCTGCAGAGCCAACCACTGTGGGTTGGCAGCTGGAGGGGAGCCTGAGGACATGACATCCTCAGGACTGCTCTAAGCACCCTCACTTTCTTCTTACCAATCTGCCAGGAAGTCGAGTCCTGCGTCCTCCAAAGGGCAAGAGATGGAACCAGGAAGACTGGAGAGATAGGTTCTTTCTGTACTGGCTGCTCCTACAAGCATAGTAGAAATTCTTCTGTCCCTCTGGAAGGGAAGAAAACATGTCCCCCAGCCCAGCAGCTTACCAGCTTGTCAATCAGACTCGTTTGATTCCAGGGAACAGAATTGCTGGGGTCAAAACTCCTTTATCCTTCCTGGAAACAAAGCCTGCTTCAGCCAGGGATGCTTACAGAAGGGGGCAGAGGATGAGGGCAGAGGTGTGCTGAGCTGAAAGAACAGTTTTCTCTGGGTGTCCTGTCATCTTCCCAGGTGGGGGCAGGGTGGCAGGGGTGAGGGTTGGTCACAGTTGAAAATACGGGGGAGTTGCCATTGTGCACACACGCGTGCGTGCGTGCGCTCATACACGCACACACTCCACAGTTTCTGTCTCTTCTCTACCTGCCAGTGGCAGCCACCTGCTGACTCCCCTTGGGCTCCCAGCAGTACCCAAGGGAAACAGGTACCTGCTCTGGGTGTTGAACTCCAGAGGGAGGTGCCCGAGAAGTAGAGTGGGAAAGTATGAAAGCTGTGGAAAGAGGTTTGGGATTCAGTTGGACCAAAGGAAAATTGTACCCCTGAGAAACACCAGGCAGGAGGCGGGGACTGGGCACCGATTTGTTCTGGAATCAAACAGCATCACATTGTGGACAAGGGAAAGTTATCATTCCATCTGTGGATGGTATTTCTCCATTAACTTTTCTGATTAACCCTGAGAGCGCAGTGTAATCGTGGGCCAGCCGAGTACACAGTAATTATCACAAAAGTCACGGAGCGATTATAGGTTTATTTCAGTCCAGCCAACTACAGTGTTCCCAGGAGAGGCAAGAACCAGAAGTTACATAGCAATTAATCCAAGCTGCTTTTTACCTAGGGAGCTCGAAGTAGGACAGGCATTCAGAAACAACAACCATGAAGCCTCTTTCCTGTGCTCCCGAGGGGAGAATGAACAATCTTTTTCACTTGTGATTTACCTCCTGGAATTTGTGCCTCCCCCAGCTGAGGCCAGTGACGTGTCTTCCGGATTTTGTCCCGCACTCTGCCTTTAGGAAGCCAGGGGTTTTAAGCGATGCCTAAGCACACATAATTGCAGCATCCAGAAGATGTTTCCACTGAGTGCCAGTCTAAAGAAAACTCTCACGTTTGATAGTGCTGGGGGCAGGGGGAGTAGGCAGTGACATTCCTGCTTTAAATTTGTTACGCAGTCACCACCAGGATGGGCCGAGGAGGGCGTGCCAGCGGGAAATTCACTTTGTCATAACCCAAGCCTTCCTGCTTCCCTTGGACACCTGCATTGCTGCTCTTGCTGCAGGCCTAGCAGGCTCCCTCCACATTGATGGTGATCCGTGATCTACCCAGAAACAGGTTTTCTCAGCAGGTGTGGAGAGCTGGGAGGGAAGTGCACATGCCCGCGTCCAGCTCTGCAGAGAACAGAGACCCTGTGATGCCCGTGGCTCGTGTGCAGCTTAACCTGAGAAACGAGGGATGTGGGGCAAGGAGCGCCGGGGCAGAGCATCCAAGATCCTCTGTGTGCTTTCCGCTCTTTCAGGATTGACCGGAAAAAGGACAAGACAGAAAGGAAGATTCTGGACAGTCAAGAACGGGCCTTCTGGGATGTCCACAGGCCGGTGGTGAGACAGCTGTCCCCGCTTCTCTAGGGTTATGGGTTGCTGCTCTTTTTATATTTTTAATCCACACTTCCTAATTGCACCTGTTGAGAAACAACATAATGATTCAAAGCCAATGTGCCTTGTAGAATGAGCGAGTCAGAATGCTGAGTGTGTCTGGCACCTCCACGTCCTTATAGGGGGTACATGCCACGTCCTCTCTCAGGGCTGTTTTGAAATACGTTTTGTGATGGTGTTCACCCGAAGCTTCTGCACGTGCATCTTAGCTTTCTCATTTCCCTCTTGAAAGAAAACACTGCCCTTGAACCACCAGATATTTTCATTCTTAAGACATTCCTCAAGGTCTGTGAAATGTGCCTTTCCATGCATTCATGTGGGTTTCTGGAATGTATGCCAGCTCCACCTGTTAAAAAGTACCTTTCTGTAGAAACATGATTCAATTAATGTATAAATGGGGTTTCAAAAAGTCCATGGGAATGCGTGTTTTGAAAAAGCTATGCATGAATTGTAAAAATTTGCACCAAAATAAACTTACCTTTTAATTTTTTTTCCACACTTTAAATAAAATTTTTTTTTAATTGGAAAGGCATATTTACAGAGAGAAGGACGAAACAAAGAGAAAGATCTTCCATCCGTTGATTTACTCCCCAAGTGGCCTCAATGGCCAGAGCTGAGCCAATCCAAAGCTAGGAGACAGGACCCTCTTCTGGGTCTCCCACGTGGGTGCAGGATCCCAAGGGTTTGGGCCATCCTCTATTGCCTTTCCAGGCCACAACAGGAACTGGGCCAGACATGGAGCAGCTGGGACACGAATCGATGCCCATATGGGATGTCAGCACTTGCAAGGCTAAGCTTTAGCCACTGAATCATCATTGCCAGGCCCCTTTGTCAACAAACTTTTTTTAAAAAAAGTCTTTGAAAGAGAGACAGACAGACAGACTTGGGGTAGGGGAAAGCTCTTCCATCTGCTTGTTCATTCCCCCAGTGTCCTCAATGAATGGCAAGGACTGAGCGGAGCGAAAGCCAGGAGCTGGGCACTCAATCCAGATCTCCCATGTGGACAGAAACACAAGTGTTGGAACCATGCCCTAGTGCTTCCCGGGGTCTGCATGAGCAGGAGGCTGGAGCCAGACACGAGGCAGGTCTGGAGCTCAGATGCTCAGATTAGGAACCTGGGTGTCTTAGAAGCTAGGCAAGGCGTCCACACCTCTCAGACTTTCTGAAGGTCCTATAAACACTCCTGCTGCATTAATGCTGAACTCACTGGCCACAGCACAGAGCTCTGCTTGGATGAGGCTTCTCCAGCCTGAGTTTTCTCTGTGTGACACCTGCACTTTGGGTCAACACTTCAGCTCTACGTGTAGGGGCGGCACACAACAAGCACAGAAGGAAAGGAAATGTGGCCAGTAAGAAAGCGTGGGTCAAATGCTTTGGAGCATGAGACCTGGAACAAAAGGACCAAGTGTCCCCTCATTCAGTCTCAGCTGGAAACACAGACCCAGGGGACAGCCCAAGCATGCCTTTGTCTTCCCATTAATGCACCGAGTACCAATGTGGAAGTCACAAAGGCGTGTTAGCAAGTAAACACATTCACCAGTACAAAATGTATCAGTAGAAGTGTGACTATATTTCTAATGTTTTGTTATTCAGACAACGCTTTCATCTCTTGCCATGGAATGGAATTAAAATTGAATAAACTATTTGAGCCTTTCTAAAAACGGATTCAAAGTAAAGGCAAAAAGAAAAATAACTCCCTGACATCAAAGCCTTCTCAGATGCTTATGTGTGTGAACTAACAAAGGCTGGGGCCCAGAGAGTCTTGTCACTTAAGCTGCCTGTTGGAAACTGCACTCCAAGGGTGGCACGCCGCAGGTTAAGACACTGCCTGCTGTGACTGCATCCCATATGTCCGTAGTCTCAGCTTCTGACCCTGCTCCTTGCTAACGCACCTAGGAAGACAACGGACAATGGCCCAAGTATTTGATTTGGGCCCCTGCATCCAAAGAGGAGGTCCAGTGGATTTCCAGTCTCGTGCCTCAGTCCTGGCTATGGTGGCCACATGGAGAGTGAACCAGGGGGTAGAAGAGTTAGCTTGCTCACTCCCTACCTCCAACCCCACCTTTTAAATAAATATTAAAAAGAAATAAACTGTATTCTGCCGTCTACATATCATTCCTTAGATAGTATCAGCTAAGTTGTATGAGAACTCCCTGGAGAAGCAGATCCGTCATGGCGAACTGGGTCATATTCATGCATTATCTGTAATGAGAAAGCTGGAGATCGATGCTGATGGTGTTACTTGGGCTAAGTGGGAAGAGGGATTTTCGCTCAGTAATTTGCATGACTTTTCTCCTCAGCCAGGCTGTGTGAACACTACAGAAATGGATATCAGGAAGTGTCGACGATTGAAGAACCCGCAGAAGGTTAAAAAGGTTTGTGAATTTAGCCGGATCAAGAACTCCTGCTGCGAAAAAAAAGCCCTCTCATTTCTGCTGCTGTTCAAATAGTAATTTACTGTTTGCTTTCCTAGTGTATTTTGTCTTTGGGAACCATTTCATTCATTGTACAAATACTGACGGAATGGCTGGGGTGTGCTTGGCACAGTGCTTGCCAGTGGGACCTACTCAGGTGTTCTTTGCTACGCCTGTGGGGAATGAAACAATGAAACAAGGTCATAGGATCAGAGATGTGATGTGAAGGGCTGCTGCCCTTGCTGGGGTCTTCCCAGGCGCTTCCTGGAAGTGAGGTCAAGTGTGCAGAAGCAGTGCATGTGGCAGCTGACCTTGGGAGGTGGCAGGGAGGAAAGGAAACTGAAGGCAGAAAAAAAAAAACACATGGGAAAGGTCACAGATAAAATAGACTTGGGCTCTCAGAAGCAAGTGACTGTCTTTTAGTAGATTGTCTGCACGCAGGTCACCATCTTGTTTAACCATGAATGGCCCTATGGTCACATGTGTCTCGCTTGATGGAAAGGGCCACAGCATACCCATGGGTGCCACCCCCAGACTGTTCCTCAATCCCTACATCCCACCCTCACCACAGTGCCAAGGAACGTCCTGTGGGTGAACATGATATCCTCTATATTAGAAAAAGTTAAGATGTGACCCCAAACTTCCCCATTTCATGCAAAGGCCAGTTTTCTCTGCCCTGTAGTCATAGACACACACACATACACAAGCGCTTCAGAAAGTTCATTGAGTATGGGCATTGTTCTGCATTGGTTGTCCCTCTGGCATACCCATATCCTGGACCAGAGTGCCTGGTTTGGGCCCCAGCTGCTTGTCACTTCCTATCAAGCTTCCTGCTGATGCTCCTAGCAGCAGATGGTGACCTGTTCCTGTTTCTTGCACGGGAGAGCTGGCTGGAATTGCTCAGTCCTGGTTTCTGTCTGGCCTCGCGCAGGATTCTGCAGACACTGGGGAGTGAACCAGTGGATGGATGGATGGGCTCTCGCTCTGTGTCTTTCTCTGTGTGTGTCTCCCCCTTGCTTTCTGTCACTCTGCCCTTCAGCTAAACAAAGAAATCATCTTTTAAAAGTCCATGGAAATTTGGAATTTTTAAGTTTTATTTTGGTGCAAAAAATTTTGAACTGAATTCAAATGTGGAAGGTCTTCAAAAATTTATGGAAGTACCTATTATATTTATAATTTTATATATAGTTATTTATATTGTATAATATATAATTATATATAAACATGTTATATATAATTACATATTACATTTGTATAATTATATATCATATTCTATATTATATAAGCATATAATATATTCTATATTATATAAACATAATTATATTGTATATGATTATATTATATAATTATATAATTTAATGTTATAATTATGATTATATTATAATATATTTTTATAATTATATTTTATGTAATTTATAATTGTTTACAACTAATATTATGTTTATATTTATATAGCTATACAAATATATTTCATTGATTATAATATAATCATAATATAGAATAATTATGGTTATAATGATTATATGCGATTATATAATTATATAAAAAATGTTATAAGTTATATAATAGATGTTATATATAATATTGAATATACAATCAAATATAAAATAAATATTATAATATCATATGATATATGATTATATAGTTGTACATATATGATATATAGTGTATATAATATATAATGTTATATGTAATATAATATATAATTATATTATATTATCATATATTATATGATTTCATATAATATATGATGATTACATATAATCATATCATATTATATATTATCATATATTATATGATTACATATAATATATAATTATATATGTATAGTTTTTAAATCTATGCATGGTTTAAAAAATTTGTACACCCAAATAAGCTTATTTTTTGTTACACTTCCCATGAACTTTTTGAAGTTTGAGAGAGACATGAAAAATGTGTGTGTGTGTGTGTGTGTGTGTGTGTGTGTGTGTGTGTGTACAATGTGTATTAAATTTGCCTAGGCATTTTGTCACTCACTGAGATGACCGTAGTCACTAAATTGTACTTTGTTAATATTAAAAAGTCTTCATTTACCCTTTACGGGATCTAGCATTCCAGAATGCCACGTCCACACTGTCAAAATGTTCCCGGATTTCACAGGTTTTAGCTGCAGCTTTGGGGAAATACTCATGAACGAGGGCGTCTTCACAGCATGAATAGAAAACGTGCAGTAAGATTATGCATGGATTGCAAGTTTTATGCATCCAAAATCAGTTCATCTTTTCATCCCATTTAGCCACCAACTTGTTGAAGTACCCGCATACAAGATGACCATTTACAGCTCAATGAAAGAAAGCATTTCATTTTACAATTTTTTTCTTCATCTATATTAGTAGTCAAGAGAAAGAAATAGACAGGTTTCAAATGCAACACACACCCCCTACAAATGCCTACAATGGCTCAGCTGAAGCCAGGAGCTAGAAACTTAATCCAGCTCTCCTATGGGAGTCCATTTCTTGGGGCAACACATGCTACCTCCCAGGGTCTGTGTTAGCAGGAAGCTGGAATTGGTCACCAAGGCAGAATGGATTCCAGAACTCCAACGTGGGACACAAGAGTTTTAGCTGCAAGACTGAATGCCCAGGCCAAGGAAAGATTTTCTGACTGGGATAAACCAAAGGTGGAATGAGATGCTTCAGGAGGCAGAAATTCAGGAGGCAGAAATTCGCTCCAAGTCCATTTATCATCTGTAGTTAGCTGTTTGATGAGTGCGGTGAGGTTTGGGCCTGCTGTCTCCTAGGTCACCTTTCCCTTCTAAAGGCAGATAATTCTCTCTCCTTCCTCTTCCTCCTTCTAGTCCGTGTATGGTGTAACGGAAGAATCCCAGTCACAAAGCCCCATGCACATACCCAGTCAGCCAATTAGGAAGACGACGAAAGAAGACATCCGGAGACAGGTGAGTGGATTCGTGGTTGTGATCCCCAGAGCAGACACGGCCAGACAACCAACAAACCAGCAAGAGAACCCTTTTAATGCTCACCTCCCAGGGCTGAGTGAACTTTGAGTTTCGGGAAACCACCATAGAAGTCCATTCCATGGGCCACAGAGTCTTTCAGTGCCGTGTGTATGAAGAACCCATGGAGCTTGAGAGGAAGAATTCTCAGACTTCCTCCAGCAGTTCCCAGCATTACTTGATTGGGTTTGGATTCCTTCTTAATGAGAATTCCAAGTCTACAGACAATAGCTCATTGTCTCTCTCCCTTGTGGTGGTTACTGATATTAAAGCACCATCAGGGTCTCCATTTTATATTATCCTTCGGTGGTATCTGAGAGGTAGGAAAACCCCAGGGGATAAACATTTGCATGCCTGCCTCTCTGCATTTAGTTGAATAAGGAAAAAGAAACATGAGTAAAAATCAGTATGGGATGGTTCTAGTTGAGTCTACCAAGCCTGGGTGTGATGTCCATGGGAAAGATGGGAAGAGGAGAAGTGATTGGGGCTTAGTTGAGAATAGGCGGTTTTAGCACACATGCTTCCCATCCTTTCTTTGTAGATTAAGTTGCTGCTGTTCGCTGTTAGGTTTAGGTTTCAGATACAACATAGAACAGGCAACTTCTGTGACCTAGGTGCAGTTGTAGAGAATAAATCTGAAGTGTGGCAAAAAATTTCCTAAGGGGCAAATTGGCTACTGGTGCACAAAGCAGTAGGTTGGGCAAAGGCTTGCCAAAGAGGATGTGGGGTCTTAGTGAAAATGTAGGATTTGGGTTCTTGGGCTGAAGGGAAGAAAGGAATTGTATAAGGACCTTAACAACCCCTTTCTTTCCCCCTCAGATAACGTTTTTGAATGCACAGATCGACAGACATTGTTTGAAAATGTCCAAGGTGGCTGAGAGGTAGGTGTTCTCTACTCAACATCCCTGTTTTCCTGTTGAGCAAGGGAAGGAGAGATGCTGCCAGATTATGGGCAAGAGGAAAGTTCAATACCAGGAGCCAGAGTTGCTCCTTTAGCCACTGGGGGAAAAAACACACACAGGTGCTGTGGGAGTGCAGCTTAGAGGACCAGCTGGAATAAGAGACATTCTGTTGCTCAAGCTTGGAGGCAGGTGTCCATGGGACTTTGCCAGTCAAGGAAGAGTGGCCTGTACCTTGACCTTCAACAGGTAGAATTGTTCCCTTTTCAGCTACAAAACACCCAGATTCATCTTTATAGGGAGAGAGAAACTGTGTGTGGGCTTGGCAGTGCTGGCTGGGTAAGCAAGCAGGAGGGGACTAGAGCAGCAGCAGCTGGCCCGCCTCCACACACCATCAAGCTCCAAACTACACCGGCTCAGCTGTAAATGAAATATCTGTCCCCTTCAAGACTGGCTTTGCAGGGACATTGAGACCTCCATCTGCACCAATGGCTGGCTCCACTCCATTAACTTGTGGGAGATTCAGTTTTATCCATGAAATAGTCTGTTTTGGAACTCTTAAGTGTTAGGTAGACCCCACCTTGGGAGTCCAGAGAGAGAGAAAATCTGATCAGGCTGCCCAGAACTGAACATTTGTTCATCCATATGTTTCTATTAATGTGATGACCAATTTCCAAGGGAATCAAAGGCTTAAGCTGGTCTTGGTGTTTATCGGATATCAGATGACCCCAGTCCTTTAAGCCCAGCTCGTCCTGGAGACTGGCTGTGACATCCACGTGGAATCCTGTACCTCCCTACAGACTCCTGGATTGATCCACATTGCAGTTGGTAAAGAATCACAAATGGTAGTTAAGAAAATACCAGCCCCAAATCACAGTCTGAATTAACACTCAGCCTACAGGGGATTCAAAGATATCCCTGGAGCAGTTTGTATTTTTGATGGTGTCTTTACCCCATTTTCCTAACGGAGGCTTTGCCAACACTCTGGGCCACATAATTGCTTGTATATAATATAATATTCTGTGCCTTATAAGAGATTGAGGAGTAACTTCAGTCTCTACCCACTGGTCAGTTACAAGTCATCCCCTTCCCTATTGTTGTGGCAACCCAAAATGTCTGCAGAGGGGGCCAGTGTCCAGGACCCGAGAGAGTTAAAGCACCCTGCTCTGAGATTTGCTGGCATTCCTGTTTTCCCTCATGCACACACGTTAGGAGGTTGCTCAAGGCCTGGGGCTCTACTAACATTTAGGTCCCAGTTGTTCTAGAATCAGAATGTCCTCTAAATGTTGGCACCAGAGCCACCTCTCTCACACTCCAAACATGGGAGCATCTGTTCATAGTGCCCAGCTCTGGAAATGCATTTCAGGTTTCCCTGTAGTTCACCTGTGCCACAACAGTGGCTGCAAGTGGAGTAGCTGGGATGACTTCAACTCTCCTGGGCCCACAGCTGTGCACATCCCCAGGCTTCTGTCCCTGTGAGTCAGGGAAGAGAGTGGCTGTCCCTGTATGCAGGAGCACAGGGGGACTTGCTGCGCTGGTATCGGAAGGGTCCTTCAGGGTCCGCAGTCCTAGGGGAGGGTCACCAGGAGACTTCAGAAACTCCGTGGAGCCAAAAGACTGTTTATTTCGATGCAGAAACATCATGGAATCTGTGCATGATTTTTTTCTCATATACATTTTCTGAAGACTGTTCAAAGACTCCTCATAGGCATGGATTTCAGCAGTGTTTTGCAATAACATAAGTTATCTTTTCGTTCTGTTTCCATGAAGTTCTTGAAGCACCCTCTTTCCTCAAAGCACCTTTCCTTAGGCCGTCATGGAGATCTAATGATCTAATGACTCTTAAAAAAAAAAGATTTCACACACACACACACACACACACACACACACACACACACACACACACACACACCCCCACCCTTCCATCTGCTGGTTCACTCTCCCCAAATAGCCATAGTGTCTGGAGTTTGGCAAGATTAGATTCAGAAGCCTGGAACTCTGCTTGGGTCTCCCTTCTCGATGGCAGGGATTCAAGTACTTGAGACATAGTCCCAGGCTTTCCTAGGTTCATTAGCAGGGAATTAGATTGGAAGTGGAACAGCCAGGACTCGAACCAATACCCATATATGAGGACTGTGTTGCAGATGATAGCTTAAGCTATTGTAGCACACACTGGCCTCAGATGCCTTGGCGCTGAGTGCAGGGATCCAGGCAGGGATCGGGGACGGGGACAGTGACCACAAAAGAACTGCCAAGTCTCAGATCTGAGGATGCTAATCCTGGGCTCCAGGGCAGAGCCAGGAAATCTGCTTCCCAGGTAACCTTCCGAGGGACTGGCCTGATTTCTGATGACATGTTGCGGCCAGAGGCTGCTCCTGAGTGCTAGCTGGCTTTGTCTTGCCTTTAGGGTATATGGAAAGACCCTGACCAGGCAGCAGTGGGTGGGCAGACACTGCCAAGTGCACAGGTGTGCTGAAGTGGGCCGGAGAGAAAGCCCAGAAAGCCCAGCAGGCTGGCGTGTCCTGTGGTTTGTTTGTTTACCCCAAGCCAGGGAGGGGCCCCACCTGCTCCCCCTAATTGTGCTTGACAGCCTGCTCTCCTGGAAGGGATTATCCCAGTCCCAGGGCTCCTGCCACGCCCAGCAGAAGCTCTCAGGGAGTCCCCCCCCCAACCCGGCAAAGCCTAGATTTAATTCCCAGCAGCAGTAACTGGCCCCTTTGCCCTGTGACACAAGAGCCTTTCTTCAGAGCCCCGGATAGGGAAGAGGAGAGGGATGACATGGGTGTGAGCAGAAGATAAAGCAGCCTGGAACCCAGCCTGTCACAGGCTGTGCTGGCGGTGGGACAGGGAGATGGTGCTGGCAGCTGGCCATGGGTTGAAAGCTGAGCCCTCTCAGGTGGGCACGCACACTGTCCCCCACCCGGGATCTGGTTTCCTGGACCTGCTGCAGGTGATAAGTGGTAATGAGCCAGAGCCTCATCCCCCTTGGGAAATGTCCCCATCCTTTTCCCATTTACTTCTCTTGAGGGTGATGGGCATGATAGGAGGGAATGAATCCAGAAGCTTCGCCTGTGGAAGGAGCAGATAGACAATGTAGGACTGGGTTTGGAGTCCACCGTTGACAACGTGGAGCCTGCCTTTGCCATTCCCCATGTTCTAACTAGCAAAGCGACCTCTTCCAGGGCCTGTTTCCACCTGTTGGCATGGGAGGTTGTGGGAGAATTTGGTGATAAGTCAATCCAGGCCTCAGCAGCTTGAATACACACAGTGAGTGTGTGCAGCCCTTGTCTTCCACGAGGTGCAGGGGATAGAATTCAGAGGCACAAGATTCAGGGCACAGGTGGGGAGGCCCCAAAGATGGCAGTTCTATGCCAGGACCACTACTGGACTGTCTTCCAAGTCTCCTACCCTGAGAGCCCTGCAGGCTGCCCTGGGGTCTCCACGCCTCCCTGCTTCGCATGAGCCAGGAATCTAGCTCCTCTTCACAGACATCCCCGTTGTGTCCCAGCTTCAACAGTTCTGTTTGTCCCTAGGAGTGCCTACATGTCCCTGAAGTGCCAGCCGTGTGACAGCCCCACTGCGGTCCCCAGGCCTTCTGCACCTGCTGGGAACGTAATGGAGTTATTCCCCAGCCTGTGTTTCAGAAAGTGGGTTCCTGCTCACACAAGCAGCTTGCTGAGAGCAGAGAGAAGCAGCTCTTAGTCCCCTAGGCTCGGTGTGCCAGCTGTTTCAAGGGACAGTCTTTGTGAAATGTGATTTAGGACCTCGCCTTCTAGAAGAAAGAACACTATATTCCAGTTCGTTTTTTTCTAGCTGACTCAGGGTCAGTATTCTTATGTGTAGGTACTTCAAAAGATTCATGTAAAGGAATTGAAAAAGCTCATTTGGGGGGGGCAAAACAATTTTTCTAAGTCCATGTGTGGATTTTTCCAAATATTCAATTTCATGACCCCCTTGGAGATTGTTAACGCTGTACTTTTAAAGCCCTGGTCAAGGTCTTTTTTAAAAAATCATTTACTTTGAAGGAATTAGGGATGGAGAGATTGAATTTTCCATCTGCTGCTTCACTTTCCTAGATGGCCACAAAAGCTGGGGATGGGCCAGTCTGAAGCCAGGAGCCAAGTGTTCCTTCCGAGTCCCCCACGTGGGCGGCAGGGGCCCAAGCACTCAGGAATCTTTTAGGTGCTTTTCTCAGGCCAATAGCAGGATCTGGAATGGTGATAGAGCAGCTGGAACATGAACTGGTACCCATTTAGGAACCAGCATTGGAGGTAGCTGATCCACTACGGTCTTCCAGAACACCACAGATTGCTTCCTACCCTCTCAGTGACCCAAGGCATCCTTGCTTTACCAGGGCCTGTGTGTCTGTTTGGATGACTGGTTGCTGGCTTGGTTGGTTTTCTTGCTCCTGTCAACATGCTGATCTCTGGTAATGCTGCTTCCCCTCCAAGCAGCTCCCATTTCCAGTCCATAGCTATTGTTGGACATCAGGCCAGCCTACAACTCAGTGACTTAAAACTGTACATGTTTATCTGCTGCCCGCACACCTGTGTGCCAGCAGCTCCAGTGGATTCCTCCAGGTGCCTGCAGGCATCTATGGACAGGGTAGGCAGCTCCGCTAACCTTTGCTGTGATCTTTCACGGAGTGGTGGCTGCTGGGTCCGAATGACGTTAGCTAGGACAGTGGGCTCTGCTTCATGCTCAACAGTCTGATTTAACGTCTTCACAAGGGAATTATGGGGTGCAGAGAAAGCACGCACACAGAAGCATCCAGAACCTCTTGAGGCTTTAAACTGTCATTCCAGCGATTATGCTGCATTGTATTGGATAAAGCAAGACTCAAGCCCAGATTTGATTCAAAGGCAAGGAGGGAAATAGACTCCGTTTTTTTGACCTACCAAAAGCAGAGGCCCAAAGAGCAAAGTTGATTAGCCTTGAACTTGGAGATGCATGAGGAGTCTCATGCTCCCAAATGATAGTGT